TTATGCGTGTAATCTGATTCGGTCGTCACTGCAACCATCGTAAGATTAATTGCAAGACAGTTTAATAACATACTCATCCACTTACAATTTTTTACTTAGCACTACATCTTTAACGCGCTCATGGACTGCATCTTAGATTAATTTGATGTTAACTGTGTGTGCTGTACATGTACATGGTTTACAGGGCTACAGGGGAGCAACCGCTAAGTCCTTTTTCATTTTTATTTTAGAAGCATTTATTAATATTAATGTTAGCATTATTTCGTTGATCCTAACAGACTACTCAACGGGACTTGGAAAACAGTGCTAAGTAACCCGTAGGAATTCACCGTTGATTTACTGTTTATTTTTCTTAGCTCATTGTCTGTTATTCTTAGGGCAAACAAACATGAGGTAGGCAAACAGCTTGATTAAGAGCGCAGACGGTGGGCAGTTTTAATGCAATGTAAGGTTTTCTTACACACAAGACAAGACGTTTGACCCTATAAAACATATAGCCACTGAAGGGAGGAGTTTAACCCTAGAGCTCAATGAATGCCGTGTGTATTTTTTCAGACATTGTCATTACCATTTTTAGGGGGACAATGAACTCCAGCCTGACTGGAGCATAATTCACGGTTCGTTAATGCACGATGCATGTGAGAGTCGCGGAAAATGGCGGTTTGGTTTCTAATTTCGTTCTTACTCATTGTGTTTATTTTGGCTAAGAAAAGCAAGCACGTTCAAGGTTAGAGTTGGTGCGGGAAACTAGTGGTATATATATAATCGCACACTAGGTTGGATTACACAGGCATTATTACGGACCGTATTACGCGTAACATATAGATAGGATAGATAGATAGGATAGATCGAGCAAGGGGTGTCAATCTCTCCGTGACAAAATCTGGGGCAACAACCATTAGAGCGAATTGGTTACGCTACAAGCCTCTCATCTAGTCCCACGTGGTTAGGGCGTTCGAAATTAGGCAAGACGGAAGGCCATCTCGACACTATGATGCCTCACAACAAACATTAGCCCCTTGCAGAGTACGGATTCAACAACGTCTCCGACACCTAAGCCACCTATAACCAGCCAGTTATGGCGCCAATGCGAGAACATCGGGCACTTGATGAATTTGATCACTGAATTGCAAAAGTAACCTTTCAAAAATACTAGTGCTCAGGAGCAGACACATTAACTTTCCCATGACGGAGACACTAAGACAAAATAAACGCGGTGATACCAAATTGGAACGTCCACATGGGACAACAGCAAGTCAGCCTCAGAAGCAAACGCTTAAAGGCAAGGCCGCGGAACGACCTTGAACGCTGGACCACACTGAGGCACTACTGCCGCACCATCAATCAGGTTCGAGATTTGCGATGTTGATGTTTGACTCGACGATCAACATCACTATTAATAGCACTTGATTCCGTACCATGCACTAGCCGATCGAACTGTCGTGCATTAGCAGGTTAGGTGAGCGCGGGGATCTGTGCTCCGATGGCCTGACATAGACCAGCCTTACATTTTTTGAGGGTTGCACCAATCTTGATTGTGTTCGAAGCAGGTACCTTCGCACTTTCATTGCACACCGGCCGCGTGGGTGTAGATAGGAGTTCTCTCTCGTTTCTGTGACTGCTGAACGTGAGACCGTGTGTTGGTGCGTCTTAAGTTGCAAAATGTGCTATTGATCGATCGTAGGCGACTTCATTTCGAAACCTCGGGCTGGAGTACAAAGAGACCTGGCGCACACTGGGCTAGGTAACGTAATCAGCCAGTTGCAGCGGTATTCGATCCAACGCGACTACAATGGGCCAGCAGAGTGGCTACAGCCTGCTGTCCAATGGCCAATGACAACACACCGATTGAGGCTAATTTCTGAACGTAATGAGCCCGTAGTTCACCCAGTCGGATCTATGCTCACGGCATTCTTGTGATGGGCGTTCGCGGTCTACACAGCTTTATCGCACGAAACCCTGGGAGTTTCAAGTTAACTCTACTTCACAACACCTATGTGGTGATTGATGCGGATAATTTGGTGAGCAACCACTATCGCGAATCCGGTTTAGCGAATTACTATGGTGGCGAATTGATTGAGTTCCAAATTTATGTGTTGAAATTTGTGAGACTATTGCAACGATGCTGCATCAAGCCCATCTTCATCTTCGGTGGATGCCTCGAACAAAGTGTGAGTCTATACAGTCAATTGTGTATATACTAGTACATGTCTTTCAACGTGACGCATACCTATGCAGTTGATGATTATGGATCAGTATTCCGTGAATACCGAATGCCTCTGTGTAAGTTTTGTTGAGTAACCTAATGGACGGTTAGAGATGATTCTACCATATGTATGCCATATCGAATTTTTCGTGACATGTAAGCATTCGGTTTACGACATTGTGTAGGTGCACTTCTCAGGACACGAACGCATAGACCGTATTGGAACACTGGAACTCTGTATTTAATGGGAATAAAATCTCGAGTTTTGTATGACCCATAGGGTAACATGAGTTCGGGTCGGGTCTGACAAAAGGGCAAGCAACCTTATAGCGGTTTGGACTCGCGTGTTAGCCGTATCTTCATCGGGCTTATGCGACGTTTAAACAGAATGCACGCCAGCTCAAACCGTGATATTCCACTACGTCCTCGGAAACGTCTATGGAAAGGAATTAGGTGGAAGAGAAAAAAGGAAAATAACTCCATCAATTAAAAGGTAGTTTTATCAGGGAATACCGCGGTGTAGCTCGACCAAAAGACAGTCCAGGCGGGTCTTAAATCCGCCACAGTGGGTGCCAAGACTGAATTAGCAAGCAGAGCATTTAACGGGCGGCAGATTCGCAAAGCGAAGTAGTGCCGTCTGCAATTCTACCGAATTTACTGATGTATGATCCTCAGTTGGTGGCCAGGTTGGTAGGAGCACGATTGGTGCAGTGTAAGTAGGTGGCGACAGGGATGTAAAAAGGGATGGATGAGATTATAACTACGAGGATCAGGTCGCCTCGGAGACCTCGGTACTTAGGCGAATAGAAGCCCAGGCAGTGAAGTCCTTGTGGACAGTCTAGGTGATTTAAACCTCGCACCTATTTTGTTGCTTGCAGTTGTAGGACCTCGAGTATACGTTGGTCCTTCCAGAACTAGGGGCTCCAAGCCTGATTAGCGAACTCCAAGTGGGGTCGAAAAACGCTTTGAGGAGGAGGCGGAAATTGCTAGGGTCAGTTTGACCAAATTCCCGTTATAACAATCCCACCATGCGGTTAACAGCAGCAGCTGCTTTCCAGCAGGAAGCGGATACGGAAAGACTCGTCTGGGTAATGATACCCAAGTCTCTTTCAGCTGAAGAGATCTGGAGGATAGACGCTCCCAGGTAATATATAGGAGAAACAGCGGAGGGGCGGGTAGAAAGGACGCGACATTTCGAAGCGTTAAATGGAAGGTTGTTTTCTATGCACCACTGAGGTAGACGGTCGAGGCCCGTCTGAAGTGCGTGGGCATCGTCCGGAAGGTTAATTGTGCGCCACAGCTTTGTGTCTTCCACATATAGCAGCAGCGAAGATTGCACTTGCGGTGTGACGTAATCACTGAGGGTTAGGATGAGGTGCGGTCCGAGAACAGACCCCTGTGGAACTCCGCTTGTGGCAAGGATGCGGGGAGACAAAGCTCCGTCGACGCATACTTGGACGGTACGGTTTTGAATGTAGTTCCGGATCCAGTAGTTCAAGGCTGTTGAAATACCGTGAGACAACAGTTTATGTAGTAGAATGTTGTAGTCGACGTTGTCGAAGGCTTTGGCGAAATCCAAGGATAAAACACGCGTTTCTAGGCCAAAGTCAGCAGCACTCGTCCAGCTATCACTTGCACGTAGCGGGTTACTCAGGCACGACCGTTGCTACCGGAAGCCGTGCTGGCAATCGGAGAGCAGTTACTGGGCCTCCATGTAGTCGATTAAAGCGTCGGTCACGATCGATGTTTTTTGCTTTGGAGATGGTAGAGATTAGAGTTATCGGTCGGTAATTGGCCGGGTCTCTGCGATTACGCCTCTGTAGATTTGTGTAATAGTCCCACATTTCCATTCATTCGGAACTTTGCATTGCGAGAAGTAGGGGGTGAACAGATCCGCAAGGGGTATAGCTAGAGCTGCAGCGTACCCTCGCAAGAGCCTTGGGTGGAAACCATCAGCACAGGAGACGCCGTTAGCACGCATAGCGCCTTCAATAATTAGTCCACCAAAGGTCAATTCACAGATGCACGTGTTCCATCGTAGTTAGCTAGTTACTGTGTAGTAGACAGGTCGTACAGGAAACCTTGTTGGGGTTCGTTAAACATATCTACCTAACTAAGGAACTCTCTCAACATTTGCACCATCTTTCAGACGGAATGAGAAATATGGGATTATAATTAAGCAGCCACTACTTTGTACCTTTTGCTTGGGCCCGTTTGGTTAGAACGGGATGATGAACGAGTTATTCCACTGAATCGAAAACTGCTAGTTTGTAGCGACGAAGTGAAGATATTAAACAAACGCGGTGGTAAGTCTATTGACGGTTGTGATAAAGGCGTCGCAGTCCAAACCGAGAGAATATTTGATGGTTTTCCTCGATAGATGAACACATTGAGATCAGGATTTCTACACTGCGAGGGCAATTGGTTGTTGTAGTTTGATGGAATCCAGGTTGAGGATCAGATTAAAAACTGTGGAGCTAGCACAGAAGGCACCGAAATTTAACGAATCGGCATTGGTTCATTAAAGGATTTACTATATTCATACAGATTGGAGAGACGTTACCGGTTCGCCATAGAAGAAAAGCACCGATTTTACTTGTTTCGTACACTTTCCAACATCGTTTACCCCCTCGTATTATGCCGCATCCATTATTCAGTTTGAATCCCAGTCACATATTCGTGCGATCGCAATGTTATTGATAAGAATCCAGTGATGCAGTGTTTTGCTAGCATTTTGCGCATCTTCAAAATGAATTAACCCACATTTTTTATTGTTAAAACTGTAAGTGACAGGTTTACGTTGTGGACCAAGTTGTGTTTTGACATAAGGCTACTTAGTGTAGAACTACGCTGTAGTTATGCAAAGGTTAGGCAGAACAAATTTATCCCAGTCCAAGAGAGATGTGTGTAGTATTTCGAGAACGTGTCCAGCTTGATGTATTTTTTCTGATAGTGGAGATAAATATTTCTTTCTTTCGGTCAATAGCATGGAGACTGTCCAATAGCTCAATGTTCGCGTCGACGTTGTTTGACGTATTGAGTTTTGTAAAACAGTATGTCCATCCTCCGGCCATACAAATAATGATTTATTCTCTATGTGCTAATGAAGACAAGTATTCTGAGATGGATGATTGTTGCTGTTATTTCCGGTTCGCACAACAAGACTTATGCGAAAATGTAATGCGGTACATAAAATGGTTGGAGAGTTGTAGATGTATTCGAGGCACAGATGATGGGACGCACCGGTAACACTGAACCACAGAGATTTAAGTACGTTTTATATCGCTAGGTGGTCATGAGACATCGTGGTAATTATCCCATGAATATTTGTGCAACGTCTGCCGCCCAAATCGTTTGCAACCATCTCTACGAAAGAGTTGTTAGAGGGAGATTTATAGAGTTGCCTTTAAACGTATTAGTACATGTTTTAGTGACGTGACTTGTACTGGAAATGCTCAACTGTGCAATCGTGTTTAGTAGTGCAGCGTGACTTTAATAGATCTCCCGTTAAGCAACATGAGAAAAAGTGATGCGCTGTTGGGAACCATAGAAAAACACAAATGCTTGCTGAAGCAGCAGCAAATTGTGTGTTGCCCACCTGAAACCACCGCACTCCATGACGCGTTTCGAGGTTATTTCCTCTCATCAGATAGAGATAGCAGGCATCGAACCCGGGACCATTGAGATGTTAGTTGTGACCGCCACCCCTAAGCCACCGGGTCACGACGGGCAAAGATTTGTACAACGGTTAATGACAGATTGGAAAGTCAATTTGAAGTACACGTTGTGTGGATGGATTGCAACGCGCAATCTCAAAGTGGACCGCGATTCCCATTGAAGTGAACCTTGGCCATTTGATCATTAGGACCGTAGCTGATGAAGCAGCAGCAAATTGGGTGTTGCTCGCCTGAAACCACTGCACTCCATGACGCGTTTCGAGGTTATTTCCTCTCATCAGATAGAGATAGCAGGCATCGGATGCTTGCTGTTTGGACTAGTTTCAGAGATGAAAATGCACTTGCAACCTCTATTATCATGACACAGACGGGTGTTGACGTTCTCGATTACTAGTAAGGTTGGGTGAATAACAGAGTTGATGCCTGACGTCTGGCAGTTTTGATGCTTGATCATGAGCCGTTCGTATCAAGTGAGGGGCAATTTCTAGCCAAACGTTGACGCGATGCACATTGATCAGTAATAAAGTCATCTTTTTGGACAGCGAAAATGGTCCTATTATGTCGACATGGACGCGAGCGATTCGGTAGGACACTGACATGATGTGTCCAATTGAAGAGGATCGTGATGTCGATAAAGGTTCGCTTGTTGGTAAATCTAAAGTTTGCATGCACAGTTTCTGACCTCACGCTGCATGTTCAGTAAAGCGTAGCTGTCAGAAATCGGCTTAAGTGATACCCGAACACTAGAATGTGCGGTGTTGCGCAGTTTAACGAAGACTGTTGGTCGAAATGCAGTACGCACGAGGGAACGTAGATTTCCTGAAGAGATATTCCAAATTATTGCGCCAGTGGACAGCGGACTTATTTTGGTGGATTGCTCGCAGGAGGCAAGTCATTATCCGTTTGCTGCGAGGTGGCCATAGCTAGTAGATGAATCGCTTGGCCCGTCGTAACCAAGGCAATTACTTCCGGACGAAGTCCATAAGACCGACTTGGTGCGATGGTTGCCATGCTGATGGTGTAGATCACCAGTTTGTGGTCGGTGCTAATAGTGGGGATTACATTCCAGGATTTGCCAAAATTGATGGGCAGCAGCATAGACGGTAAGCAACTCGCGGCTAAATGTGATGTACTTCATTTCAGCTGTCTGTGTATGTTGACAGATGGATCCCAACGGGTTTCAGTTGCCGTCGGAATATTGGTGTAGGACAGCGGCGATTACACTTTCCGACGAGTTGAAGGCCAAACTGACTGGGGCATTTGCGTCGCAGTGATGCACTTTGACGATGGAAGCGAATGCATATTTGTTGGCTTTGAACGCCTATTCCGCTGCAGGCATAAGAGCAACTTTGTGGCTGTTTTATCCCCGCAGAAAATCCTTAAGCAACTGCATCCCCTTCAGTAGAGCACGACAAAGATTCTTGACTACATCCTTGAAACGGCGAAAGGCAACTAGAATGGTAGGGCCAGGAAAGTCACGTGTTGTACAAACGCTGTCAATTATATGTCAGATGCCCTAGAAATCCGGTTTGTACTTGAGTCGGTCTATGAGGGAATGTTTAAAAATGCACTCGTTTGAGTTCACCTTGATGCACATATTCAGCCATTTGAACAATAGTTCTAGGTGGTCTTGGTGAACTTGCATGAAAATACCGTGGCTGTGCGGGTGTGCGCGATCTAGTTCATGTATAAAGCAGTCGATCAAGCGCTTAAATGTTTGCGCAGCGTAAGGCATATCAGAAGACTAGGCAGCAGTAATGGGATATTACCTTGTGGGAAAACCTATGCTTATCGGGTCTGCCTTGGAGAAGACACGGGAACTAAGATGTCCTGTAGGGGCGTCTGAGAAATAAGGGATGGTATTTTTGTCTTGAATCGTCGCATTGTTCAAAGCAGGACAATCGTATGTCGCCAGCCTCCTGGCTTTCCCTACACTGTATTAAAGCGCGAAGACGAGGAGCTATGTGAACGACTAAATGCTTCCAGGCTCCAGCAGGTGTAGGAATTCCGCACGAACAGTTTCGAGCTTGTCCAGCATCACTCTGTGCGCTTTTGTGAAGAGGGTGGGGCTTTTGGCGTGCAACGTCTTGCCGAATTTCAATAAAAAGGCGTAATGCAAGTGAAAAGATTGTTGAGAAAGCTTCATTTGGTTGCTGACCGGTTACTTCACTTAAGCCCACAACGAGCTAAGCAATGCAATATCGAATGTACATGAAGTGCTTTTTTGGTTACATTTTCAGTGTCCCGCACCTCCTCACTGTTAAGCTTTTAACACCATCCACCTAAGAAAACGGCTCGCAACCGTCTTTGATGTCATATTGCAGACCCTCGATTATTTATGCAAAGTAGCCACGATAGAGTCTAACAACACTAGAACAGCGTTCGCCTAGTAATCACCCAACAACTTTTAACATGTTCGTTTTCGCGTTTTACTTTACCTACTATTCCCTCTAGGGCGGCAAACGGGAGACGTTACTGGATCGCAACATGGAGCGAATCAACGCCTTGTGGGATTTCATCCAACAGGCCCGAGCATCTGCAGATCCAGACAGGATGGCTTCCCTCGAAAATCTACTACCGAAACTCGCGCATCAAGTTGTGATGGAGTTGCTAGATGAATGCGGCGTCCCATACATTTGCGGCACCCGAAAGGCTAAATTGCAAATGGCTGAACTCGCTGTGGTACTTAACTGTCCGCTGATGAGTAACAACTCCGACTTCTACATATTTCAATCGCTTGTCCCATCACGTTACCGAGTGATTCCGTTCTCTTTACTAAAAACTACATGTGACCAGTTGCCAACGAAATGCGCCGATTGTGCCTCACGGTCTGCAACGTGCTACGGATTATCATGTTCCGTTTTCTGCCAATATCCACCTTGTTTGAACAAAGTGAAACCGCAGTTACTTCCTCTGCTAGCGGTACTATTGAACAATGATGCAAGTTCAAACGTTCGCCCGCCTGATAGCGTCGAAAGCCTAATAAAACAGTCTCAAGGCGCGAAGCGGGTACATGATGTGCTGCATTGGTTGGAGCGATTCTCGGACGAACCCTCAGGTGCGATACGTGAAATTTTGTCCGGGTATGCCAGGTTCGAGTTAGAAGAGATAGCTAAACAAGTCGCGCAGTGCATCCATGGGTATTTTCTTGACTCGTTTACGGATGGTTTTGAACTGGCCAATGAATTAAACCTCCCTACGGACACTGCATTTGCCCTGCACGCACCACCCGGAAACCCACCTGTTAACATTGATTCCATTTCAGTGAAAACACTGGATGAGGCTGTTTCATTGCTCTCTCAGGCCCTAGCTCACTGGGAAGTTGCGGAGGTTGAAATGAATGCGGATTTTTGCTTCCGATGGCCGCGGCAGCTGAAACGTGCTTATCGAACTGGTCGCATAACAATTTCGCTGCTTGATGCGCTTTACATGCGTGGTGGAGGTGTGCTATGGATTCTGTATGAGGATCTGAACTACACGAATTCCATCTACTCCGTGAGTGAGTATGTTCGATCGTTAAACTATAGTTTATTGGTTGAACTTGAGAAGCGCAACGATTGTTCGCACAAACTCCGCTGGCTGACGGATGGCAAGCCGATAGAGAGCCGCCGTGAGGGTAAGCGAATGTCCACGTTCTCCGTGCAGTTGCCTGTTGCGTGCATGCCCCGTGGTGAGTCTGCGGTAGAAAGATTCCATCGATTTTTCAGACAGTATTTATCAATTGACCTAATAAGCAGCGTGGTTTGTGACTCACCTGAAATGATGGGTATCGTATGTGTGCTAACTGTATGGTTGCGACATACATCTATTAAGAAGGTTAACCGAATTCCATTGGTCAGAAACCCTGTCGGGTTAGCTTTTATCACGTGTGCATTGGTGACTGCACTTCATTACGAATACTTCCGTCGTCACGATGGCGCCGTTGTGGATCACGCACTGGCTGATCTGAGTATGCGGTACGGCCAAGTTGCTGGATATGCGAAATGTGAATGTGTGACAAACGGCCACCAGGGTTACTCAATTGAGGTTGTACATCAGCTGAATGAATTGCAATTGGTATATGTGGAACTACAGCACCTGACGACTTTGTTAGAAGTTATGTGCACATGTAATGATGCAAAAGAAGATCCTATTGAAGGTGATATCAAAACTGGTCTCGAAATGCGATTGCGTTTGTGGCCCGCTTGGGTGATATTTTCAAGTGGACGGTTGCTCTATTGGCTGGCGCAGACTCTGGCCTGCGCTTCTTCAGAAGATCGATTCAACAATCTGCAGGTGTGGATCCCTGCCCTGTTGCGTACGATATCCCCTGATATCACTCCACCAAGTGTGTCAGAATTGTCGAAGCGCGTTTCTGATGTGCTGGAAGTTGTGCAACGGATGGGACGACAGTGTTAGAGAATATTACTACTTGGATCCTACATTATTTGCTACCACTTTTCGCCCTATTTTGTGAAATCACACTAAAATATATCTGAAATAACTCTCGCCTTCCATGACTGCGACGGACTGAGTTGGTATTTCAACCTTGGAGAGTTTTCTGAATTACATTTGGAGACTGTTTTAACCTCAATTTGAGACCTTTAATGTTCAGCGATGCGTTGAATCTCGTCCTGGGAAAAACATGTTGATTCCGCGTAGACCTGGTGAATGTTCCAACACTCTTCTTTTCAAGCTGCAAGCTGACTGTTCCAATTTAGTGCGTAGTGAACCCGAAATATCTGCCTCTCAGCCTTTGGAATGTGAGTGCAGTCCGGGAGGAGGGTACGTTCAGTGCGTTGTGGTTAGTCGAGTCAGTGTATTTAGCGTTAATTTACGTTGTTCTTTCGACGGTCTAGGCTCAAGCGATATGTACTTTTCTTGGACATATGGACCGACGGCCAAGCGCACCCTCTGTAATCCTTCATTTCGAGCATTGCCCTTGACCCTAGATTTTACGATCAACCCCGTGTTTCATTGCTTACAGCAGCCAGCTGGCACTTCATTGTAGATTTACCAAATGACACTTGATCCACTCCTACTGATGCATGATGTCTATCTTTATTGAACTGATGACTGGAGGAAATGGAGTTCCATGTTTTGCAAACCCGAGGAGACGAGTAATGCCGTAATCATTCTAGCATGGATTCGCTGGCCACTCGGTTTCAAGCAGTTACCTTTGGGTTTGGTGTTTGAACTGTAATTACTATGCAAACGATGGTGTGCGTGAGTGACGTCAAGCACGAGTTGGGCACTAATATGTGATAAACGCGTAGCCATCGATATCGTCTTCCGAAAACGCTAGTCTTCGCTGGTGTGTTGGAACGCCTGGATCACTAACCTATTTTTATCATGAATTGTTGGTTGTCCAGCACCGGATTACGGTTCAGCCAAAGTTGCCAAGCTCGTATAGCGTATTCAACCTTAGAACATACGTAAATGGAACAGTTGGGATTACTAAATACGAGCACACCAAGGTCGCTTTCTTGGGTATTGGTCTGTTCAATGCGATATATGTTAGTATTCTTGTGGCGCAGTTAAGCAGTGCGATATGTTTCAAAATAAATGCTAGGATAATCAGTACAGTCCTAGCCGAATAGCACCAAAATCGCGCTGGAATCCTTGGTCGTGTGGTCAGTTAATTGCGCGCACCATAACTTGAGATTCTCCTCAAAGCAAAGGCAAACATAGTTAATTGACCTCTGTAGATCTTTCATAAAAAGCAAGAACAAACGAAGCTCCAGTGTGTTGTATATCAAGTAAAGCAATTAAGCTGTTTCCCAAACTTACTTGCGTCTTCCATGATGTAGACTGCTCGTGTCGGTAATGCACCTCCCGGAGACTTGTTAGATTTGCGACGTGGAAAACTGGTTCATTCTCACTATGAACACCTTGGTCTTTGTTGTGTCGCCACTGACACCTTCACCCCACAACTGCAATAAGAAATCCAAAGAGGAGCCGGAAAGAGAGTTGTATACATGAATTCACATTTGTTTCCATAGTTTTGCAAACAAAATGTAGGGAAGCTACTAAACTACACTTGAGCCAACAAACAGAAGGAAACGTCAAATGCAACGGAATAATAAGTAACCGTGTAATCAAGAGCAAATCGCACATTCATTAAAAACAACATCATGGGACCCCAATCTTACAGCGAACATAAATTTATATTGACGGGCAGAGGCCAATCAGAATACCGAAATGTAGCGTTTAAACAAATGTCACGAAACTAACAAGAATCACACACAGAAAAATTAAAACCTAGTACAATAATTGTGAGAAAACTGAATACTGAATTCTGTATTATAGAGCAAGTCATAGTGGATTCTGTACAACTCTTTCGAAATATGGTGAAAAACATTATGAAAGTTGGCAGCCGTGAATATCGTTGTCGTTCTAATGTAACGTTTAAAATAGCTGACTTACGATATTTCAGGTTTCACAAATGTGATATGTCATCGTAAGTGTGCAGTCGTTCTCTGAATCGAATAGTGGCAAAATACAAATCCAACAACGTTTTGAACTGTTGCACAGATGTTGCCTCAATCACATGTTCAGGTAAACTGTTCCAAATGTTTACCACTCTCCGTTCGAAGCACAGTGGGTGGGGAACACATTTCACATCCGGCACGACAAATTTGTATCTGTGTCCGCGTGTGCTGTATGGCCCTCGTAAGTGCAGCATTGGCCTTAGCATTGGGAAGTCACCGAGATGTAGAGAACGGTAGGTCATAATGAGGTCGACTCGCACCCGACGGTAGGACAAGGTGTAGAGTTCTAGTTTCTCGCACCGGTCTTCATACCCAAAGCCACGTAAACTCGGGATCAGCCTGGTAGCAACGTGTTGGACCCGTTCGATCTTTTGTTCTTCTCCTCGGGTAATCGGAAAGTAGGCGGGCGAACCGTTCCCTAGCATTGGTCTAATGATAGAAGAGAAGAGGCGAGTGGCAGCCTCTTCAGACCATGTGCCGAAGCTACGTTTGAGCGCCCAAAGCATGCGCAGTCCGTTCTGATATAGCCTCTTCGTATTGTCCACGGGCTTCAAATCGTTGTGTGAGAGTACACCTAGGTCTTTTACGGAGGGTGTGGGATATAGCGGTTGGCCGTCAAGGGTGTAGGTTCGGCCGTTAGCAGCCTTCCCCAGGCTCATAAATACAGACTTGGCTGGGTTGACCGGGAGAACAACTTCTGCAGACCATGTGGACAGGTGGTTGAGTTCTTGCTGAAGTAGGCCACAGTCATCGGGAGCGTCGATTTCTCTCCAAATCTTCATGTCGTCCGCAAACAAGGCACACAGCAATCGGAGAAGCTGCGGTAGATCGTTGATGTGGATCAGGAACAGTTTGGGCCCCAGCACAGTGCCTTGAGGCACGCCACTTGTAGAGGGGTACCAGTCAGTTAGATGGTCGTCGACCTGCACCCTCCACTTTCATCCAACATGAAAGTCGCGGATCCACCGGTGCAGTGAGCCACCGACACCACACTTTCTGCGTTTGTAAAGGAGAACGTCATGGCTGTCCTTGTTGAACGCTTTACTGCAATCGATGAATATCACGTCGACGGACTTCCCCTTGCTTATTGCCTTCAACCACTCATGTCTCGTCACAAGCAGGTTCGTAATGCATGAGCGACCTTGCATAAAACTGTGCTGTGCTGGAGTCAGGACCTCGTTTGACTGTAGCAACTGCAGCAATCCCTTCTTCACGATTTTCTCAGCAACCTTTGCCAAAATAGGTGTCAGACAAATTGGCCTGTATTTGTCTACTTTGCTAGGGTCGCCGCCTTTCGGAATAGGCAACAAACCTTCGGACAGCGACCTGTTGAAATAGTCAGTCACAACAGGAGAGAGGATGGTTGAAGTGACTTGAGAACCAGTTGGTGAAGCCCATCAGATCCAGTCGGCTTGGTGCCGTCAAGGTTGGCGAGTAGTTGACCTACCTCTACAACACCGCAATGCAGATTATCGAGTTCGGTAAAAGCGGTACAAGTCGAACTCGGAAGAGACATCTGGTTATTCGCAAATACAGAAGCGAAGTGCGCCTCCAACGCGGACGCACGCTAGGTGCTGGAGGTTAGGGGCTGTCCATCCGTGCCACCTAGCACTGGCACATCACCTGCCGGCTTCAGGCGTCGCTTCACGTATGCAAAGATTCTCTTTGGGGCGGTCTTCGCGGCTAATGGGAGCTGCTTTTCGAAATGTCGGCGTTTATTCTTTTTTTCACCGTTGCCGAGATATCGCTGACATCTTTACACTTCGTAATCACTGGCAGAGCCAGAGAGGAGGTATTTGTCCCACAGTCTGCGCCGCCTCCGAGCCAGGTTTCCATACTCCTTTTCAAACCAATGACGCTTGATCGGTCCAAACTTCCGACATTTCAATGGCACAAATTGGGAACACAATGATGTCAATCACTCTTTTATAAATATCCAACAATCTTCCACAGATGCAGCTTGTGACAGAGACCAATCCAGTTGGCTCGCGGCTCGAGCTAGACCATCGAACTCCGTTTTCCAGTAGTTGGGAGCTAGTTGCAGCGGATGAGAATACGGCAAAGATAATTCCATATCAGCTATCAGTACTGAGTGATCGCTCGTAGCCAGGAGCTCCAGGATCCTAACGTCAAGCACTCGTTGTTCGTAGCTCGTTAACATCAAGTCGAGACAGGACGTGGTTGAACGTGTTGATATGCGTGTTGGCTGGCAAATGTGTTGCGATGCACCAGTTTCAAGTACCAAATCCACGAACTTTGCTTTAACCTCACTATGTCCAGGCATCAAATGCACATCAGGCCGTCGTATTCGAGGACAGTTAAAATCTCCCATAAGTAGAAAGTGAGGACGACTCATGTGGGTCCGAAGAATGGGCAGCCAATCCAAACAACGAGTCAGAGGGCTGCGATAAACTGCGCCCACAGGCAGTTCTCTTTGGATGGAGCACCACAGTAGCTCACACAAACCATCGTCACTTCGGCAGGTGCTCACAAGTCTTCCACGCAGGGAAGACCGGATGTAAAGTAAGACACCACCGCAGGCATTCTTTAGTCTATCGCATCGGAAACACGAGTAACCGAGGAACCGTTGAGTTCAAGTTCTTGGGTGTATAACTCTGCATGCAGCCATGTCTCTGCGAGTCCCACTACGTCTGGCCGCTCAGACGCAACGAAACAACAAAGCTCATCGCGCTTATTCATAGTACTGCAAACGTTTGTGAAGGCTACTCGCAGGCCGCAGCAGGAGCCGCCGGGCGTGCTTTAAGTGTGAGCAGCCTGTTTATCCTGATGCGCGGATTGTTGTAAACCACTCGAAAATTTACGATACGAAGATTTGCTTCCCCCTCACCAGTGCGTCTATTCAGCTCAATGATGTCAGACTTGAGCCGCTCCCTGTCTAATGGGTCCAGGTCTGGACGAACATGTATCTTCAAACCATTCAGCCTACTTAGGCAGGACATGATCAGTCTTGGACTGGCTTCGTCCACAGAAGTGATTCCCATAGGCCGATTTTGTTGATCACCTTGCTTTCCAAGACGAGTAACCTGCCTTAATTTTACCGAGTCCTCACCAGCGTCGAGGAGTCTTTCAATTAGACCCTGTAAAATCCGACATCGTGATCGTAGCGCACTTGGGGTGATGGATCACTGGACTCCGGTGCGTGGAAGATCACGAGATTATAACGCCTCTGGTTGGACGAGGTTTACCTTGCAGTGCGAAGTATAATACCAGCCTCATGTGGTTTTGCTAACTGTTGAGTTACAGAACGTAAACGCCCAACGTCCCTTCGTGATTTCGTTCTCAGTTCTTTCCACTGGTCTTCAGCACTCAGACTTTCACCTGCTGGGACATCAGTGTCCGTTGGACACAACAAAGGTAAACAATTTATGCCAGGTGCAACTGGGCTTTTCACAACGGTTGGACTTCGTGTCGGTGAGTTTGCACGGGTAGAGGAGGACGGATGAGTCGAAACCTGAAGGCACTTCGAGCTAGGTTGTTGGGCCAAACAGGCGGAGCTGTTCGCAACGTAACGCTGAGGTCTACACGTTGGCTTTACTCTTTCTGGCTGTGCCTTATTTCGGCAATTTTCACATATAGT